GGACTGTAAGTGTTTTAGATCATTTTTCAAATGGCTGTCATGGATGTAGAAACCAATTTCTCATGGATCACTCCTCCAATGTTTGACAGGGAAAATTATCATATCTGGGCTGTGAAGATTGGAGACTTACTAAAAGCACTAGACCTCCGAAAAGTAGTAGAAGATGACTACGAGATCCTTTTATTACTAAAAACTCCTACAATGGCGCAGATCAAAAATCACAAAGAAAAAAAAACAAAGAAGTTAAAGGCAAAGGCTTGCCTAATTTAGGAGTTTATTATTTTCTGAATTTATCATGGGTAATCATGACCTATTTTTAGGATCATGAACTTAATGGTTAGTTACTTTTTAAGTTTATACAATGTAAGTTTTGAGTGAAGAACTAATTTCTCCTTAAAAGTTATCTCTATTTTTTCTGTTATAACTTCATAAATGACACAAATACAAATCAAGTTTCAACTTTTCTTTTTATTGGGGAAGGTACAATATAAAGTCAAGGTCTTATTACACAGAAGCAATATGTATAGCTGTTAGTTCTATTGCAGCAAAACAAATTGTTAGCCCAGATGATTCAATCAACTACTTCAACAAACACAAACAACAAAATTCTTGGCTTTTCTGGGGTGCATATATGTTTTAGCACACTTGCAGTTAATTCAAAAATGTTAGGAAAAGTTCTTTAGGTAATAGATAAAGGTGCCTCAGATCATATAGTCTATACATCACATTTATAGACAGATTGTGATCAATGTTACTTATAAGTTGAGTTACTCAATGGAGAAATAATTAATGTTATTTATGCAGGGACGATTAAATTATCAAAGAATCTAATTATTAAGAATGTTCTATGTGTATCTAGTTTTAGTTTCAATTTGATATGAGCTAGGAAATTGCCAAATATTCAAACTATTGCTCAATATTTTCCTCTAAAATCTGCCTAATATAAGATCTTTTAACAGAGAAAATGATTGAACTGAGTAAGTTAGCGTGTTAACTATATTTGTTGTAGGTAAACATTTTTTTAATAAAGATAAGAGAATTTTAGCTACTAGTTTGACATATCATGATAATATAATGAAAGATTTTTGGTTGTGGCATTGTCGCCTTGGATACTCAAGGCTGCCTAGATTAGATTTATTCTCAAAATTGATGAATGATGTCGAACATAAACAGTGTGACATTTGTCCTATTGCTAAATAGAATATATTACATTTTCCTATTAGTGAACACATTTCTGCACCATGTTTTGATCTTATACATTGTTACATTTGGGGACCTTACAATGAGATGTCTTATGATATATATCCATACATATATATATATATTCATTTATCTATTGTTGATAATTATAGTAGATGCACTAGGGTGTTCTTATTCAAGATCAAGTACGAGGCGATACCAGTGCTTCAGGGTTTCCATGCCTAGGTAATAACTTAGTTTGGCATTAAAATCAGGGTAATATTATGTTGACAATAGAAATGAATCTTATATACAAGAATTCTTTTGAAGAATGACATAATTGAAGGAAAACATCAACATAATATGAATATAGTCAAAACACTGAAATTTGTGAGTGGACTGAACCTAAGGTATTAAAGTGACTTTATCTTAATTATATTGTATATAATGAATAAGATGCCCTATTTAGCAATTTAGAACAGAACACCCATTTCAAGATGCTATTTTGGAAGGAAGTAACATATGATCTTATAAAAGTTTTTGGATGCTTAGCCTATGCTTCAACACTTACAGTAAACATAAATTTAATCCAAAAACTAGAGGACATGTGTTCCTTGGGTTTCCATATGGGATGAAAGGGTATAATCTTTCTAGTATAGAAGATGAAAGAGTATTTATGTCCAAAAATGTGATATTCTATGCACACATTATGCCATATAAAAAAATGTTTGGAAAAAAAGATTATGAGAATTTTAATTGTCTAGCTTAAGAAGCACAAAAATATCAACAAAAGAATTAAACAAATGAAATGAATTTTGAAATCAAAGGGAGAAGTATGAGAATGAGAAAGATGGAAAAAATGAAGAACATAAATTAATGCAACCTTCAACCTCTATTTTAGACAAGGATAGAACTAAGGATACTTCAAATCAGGTAGAACAAAAAGTGAAATCCTTGAAGAAGTAAGAAAATAAACCAAATCAAGAAGACTTCCTGCCTATTTAAAGGATTGTGTCTGTGAATAAATGATAGCTGTAAGTCGTCAATTGATGACACCAAATAACTACAAAACCGTGAAAAGAGCAGTCCTCATTTCATCAGTCGTAAATTATTATAAGATCAATAATGAATACCAATCTTTTGGCTGTTAGTTCTCAATGGGAACTTAATAGTTATCAAGAAACATGCAACAATATAACTTGGACAAATTCCATGAGACGTGAGATAAATACATTAGAGAAGAATGGGACATGGATCATCATCAATCTTTCACAAAAAAAGAGGGCAATAGGACATAAGTTGGTATACAAGATCAAATATAATGTAAATGACACAACACAAAGGTATAAGGCTCAATTGGTTGCCAGAGGATTCATACAAAAAAAGGGATTAGATTGTCACCAAGATTTTTCTCCTATAGCAAAGATTACTATAATGAGATTACTTTTTGCACTTGCAATCACATGAGGGTAGAGCCTCAAATAGCTCGATGTAAATGATACCTTTTTACACGAAGATTTAAATAAAGATGTTTATATAAAATTGTTGCCTGGCTATCCAAACAAGAGATCAAAGGTGTGCAGATTGAAGAAAAGATTGTTGGATTAAAGTAAACCTCACGATAGTTGTATGGCATGTTTTCAAAATCCATTTTGTAACAAAGTTTCAAGCAATCCAAGGCGGATTACAGTTTGTTCGTGAAGGGAGGTAACAAAAACTTTACTGTTGTATTAATTTATGTTGATGATATTATTGTGATTGAGAATGACTTAAAAACAGTTGAGACTTTAAAATTAGCTTTAGATAAAAATTTTAAAATAAAAGACTTAAGAGATCTTAAATACTTTTTAGGAATAAAAGTTGCAAAAAGTAGTGGTATTATATACATATGTTAGAGAAAGTATGTACTAAATCTCTTGAATGAAGCGGGGATGTTAGGAGCATGACCACCAAGCTCCCTTTGGACTAGAATTTAAAATTGTCTAAGATGGAAGTGCATCATTTGCAAATCCCACGATTTTTAGAGAACATAAAGGGGAGTTAATGTATTTAATCCTCACAAGGCCTGACTTATCATATTCTATTGGAATTTTAAGTTAGTTTATGGAGAAATCACATGATTAGCATCTATATATTGCCTGTAAAGTACTCAGGTATATTAAGAGTATTTCTGGGCAAGATCTATTATACCTATTAGTCTCAACCTTGAAAATTGAAGTTTATTGTGATAATGACTAGACATCTTGTCCTGATACACGTAAATTAGTGATCGGATATTGTATCTTTATTAGAAAGTCATTAATTTCTTAGAGGTCAATGGACGTAAATGACTATATTAAGATCATCAGCTGAACCTAACTACTGGGTTATGGCAACATGTTAAATTATCTAGTTAAGGTATTTGTTGGCAAATATGAGAATTGATTGTTCTGAGACAACAATCCTATACTTAACAACAAGGCTGCATTACACATTACAATAAATCCAGTATATCATGAGAGAACTAAACATATCGACCTGGATTATCACTTAATCTAGGATACGAGAAGGGATACTGACAACAAGCCATATTAAAAGTTTAGAACAGATAGATGATGCGA